TTCTCCGCTCGCGGAATCAGGACTCTAAGATATCGGTCTCGATCCTTGAAACGCCGCTGACGAGGACGACCTAAATCCAGGAGATTCACGGAATCGTATCTCTCTCTCTCTCTCTTTTTCGAATCGAAGGAGCTTCTTTTCGCCGGGAAATTGGTCGGATGAACGCGTCGCCCGAGCATGTGAATGGTCTAACGAGCAAATATAAATTAGATTGAAAAGTCGACCGTGAAAAATGTCCTGTCCGATTTAGGATACTGTAGCGAAAGAAGGCAGTGGTAATGGCCATCCACGTCCCGCCATTGACACGTCGAGCACAGAAAAGGTTTAAATCAACGTCACCTGCCCGCAATATATCGTCATCGAACGTTGGAATAGGTCATACGTCAAAGGGCTATTTCGTTTCGGATAAACATTTCAGCGGCGATGTATTTTTAATCGACTACGCGGAGGCTGTAATTAGACGTGTATATGGAAGTGTTCAGGTTGGAAACAAGTGGACTACATTCAATCGATAATAGTATTCCAATAATAGTAACAATGACAGAGATCTGTGTTCGATTGTAACCAATTTGCATACAATATTATATGCAATATTAATCGAAATATATAAGGTGTATCTAAATAAGTACGAAAAATTTTAGATGATTCTTTGCCAGAAATTAAGAGAGGTTTCTTATGAACTATACGTCGTGGTTAAGTTCTTATTTAAAAAAAAATCAATAAATATCTCTTTTATTAATGGAAAATATCCATCAAGTTTCATTTTTCCTCCCTCTTTAAAAAAGTGTAACTCCTCAGGGAAGAATATAAGAGTATATGTTTATATATGAGAAACCCTCCATATAATTTTCGACAAAAATGATGTCTAAAAATGTTTCGCACTTATTTAGCCACACCCTGTACATAATACTAATTTCTTTAGCTAATTCAGACGCAGCGCTAAATTAGTGCAAGTTTTAATTAAGATATCAGCGTTACGATGAAGTGCGAAAGAATCTTCGGGAAGGAAAATGAGGAATTCGGTCGTTGCACGCCAAGAGGGAGGAAGAGAGAGGCGAGAGAGACGGAGAGAACGATGCAAGTGCGGGTGCAAGCGAGACGGAGGATGCACACGATCTCGTAAGAAGACACCAGTGCACGCTGGGGAACGATAACGGCGGTCGGGCGTTCCCGGATGCACGCCAGAAACCGAATGTAAACGGCTGCCGCACAACTTAATTAATTAAGTTGCGCCGCGCTCTTTACGTTATCGCGCCGTCGCCTCCGATACATTATCGTATCGGTTTTGCGTATGCTTCTCTCCGTCGAGAATTTCAGGAAACGCGCTGTGTCTTGTGCAGAGTATATTAAACCAAATTTTTGTTAAACCAAGCTCGATACCAAACTCGTAGAAGAATACTGCAATTATCGATATATATATATATATATATAGGGTGGTCGTTATATAGGTTTTTTCAAAATTTTAATGTTGGATGGTCGTAAATCAGCTCTAAATGTAGAAAAAAAAAATCTCTAATTTTTTCAGATTTTTATTTTGAGTCCTGAGTCTCCCTGTTGGCATGTAATTTTATTAATACCACAGTTCTGCAGCTGCTTCTGTCATCGATTTTTGTTGTAAATAGTTTGAAATTTTAGTGAAAAAATGTTAAAACTATTTGAAAATACCGAAAATATAGTATAAAATAATATAAAATAGTTAAATAATATAAATAGCGGAATAACCCATATAATATTTATGACTATCTTTTATGAAAAATTAAATAATTTTGTTCACTACTTTTGCAGCTGACTCCATCTAGAACTGAAGTAAATTAAGTATTTTTTCAAATTATAAAAATATAATATAAATAATATTTAAGTAACATATAAATGAATAAATAAATGAACTGATATAAGAATATAACATAACACGTGTAAACAGAGAGACTCAAGGCTGAAAATAAAAATCTGAAAAAAATTAGAGAATTATTGTTTCTACATTTGGAGCTGATTTATGACCATCCAACATAATGTTCAATTTAACGACAACCCTAATATATATATATACACATATTCTGTAACGTTCTTTATCAGCGTTATTGTGTGATTTTATAATTAACACAGACATGAAACGCGATCTTCGATACACGAAATTATAATTTGCCAATTTCGTTAAAGTTTTTTCGTGAAAAAAAATAAATAAATAAAAGTTGCTTCACTTTGTTTTAACACGTGTGATCCTTTGATTGCTATCAAGTTTTCTTCCAAGACTTTACAAAGGAACACAAGACCGTGATGCATATTGCACTGCACGTTATCGTATGCGCAGGTGCTTCCTAGGGAAATTCCCCGAAGACACGGTAGACAGTTTTCAAACTTTCGCTATTATATATTTTTTTATTTATAACGAGCGACGCTCGTATAAATATTGTCTCATCGCGCTTTTGGAAGATTTTTCATATATGTTTACATTTACATATTATGGCTGTTTAATCTCACATTTTCCGAATAATTCGCGAAATTGGATTCTATTTGCGGCACGCCCGATTATAGTCAATCGCTATTTTACATTTCGTTTTAATTCGCGAATGACAGCAATGATAGAACCGCAACGATAAATTTTCTGCGGTATTAACGTCATTTCTATATATACTTTGGCAAACATTTTCGGATATTCGATAACCGCGCGCGTCTCGAATGCGTCGGCATCGATCACTATCAAAAACAATTTTTACTTATTTTTATTTTATCGAATGCATAATGATCGAGTACCGTCGATATGTGGTCAAGATGTTGTAGTACTTTCATCAATCTCTCATCCTACATAAATAATTTGCGATAGGGCTTTAGTTTTTTTAATGAAATAAATGATTTCAAGAAAATATTTTTTCTTCTTTAATTATTATTAAAGTTTAAACATTAATAACAAATTTCTTTCCGTCAAATCTACAGATATTTTACAACAGCTTTTACTATGCAAATATATATATATATATATATATATATATATATATATATATTTAATTTTTCTTTACTTTCTTTTTATTTCTTTTCTATCGTAGCCTCTCTGCTGCTAATTTCTTCTATATTCGTTTTGCATTCTAGTCACGCTATGAATTGTTTAACGTTGCATCTTCTGATATATGTATATGTTTTTATATACGGATACGATATCGGCGAGGGTTGGAGAATTCATAGTGTATCGTGATTCGCCCAGAAAACTGACATCGATCAATCATATCGCAGATGAGTGTCGGTTTCCACGAAACCTCCCTTGACGTTCGTCACGTTTTATTACAATACTTTTATACGCCCGAATGTGCACACAGCTCGTTTACGGAATATTTTTCGAAACAAAAAAAATGCTCACTCTGCGAATCATGGTCTGCGGCGAATAATGAAATTTTGGCATCGCGAGCTTATATATTTCTCTTGCTGGAAAAAAAACTTATAGTGCGACAATCTAAATACGCGGTTAAATATTTGAAAAAGATTGTATTTTTTTTTATACCTGGACGTACATTTATCTATTCTTCCACATCGACTCTGAAATAGCCAGTTGAAACTTTTATCACACTCTCTGACCTGGTTCTTGTTGCAACGATGTTACGGTAAATTGCTGCTAAGTGATGTCTCCGCCTTGAAAAATGCACCTCGTTAATTTTCAAGAATAGATTTAGATACGCCTCGCAAATTTACACAGACGTATTTTATCGAACGATTTTAATAAGCGTAAAATAAAATCGTTAATGTAACAAGAGAGAAGGACGTCGAAAATAAAATTTTGCGGCTAAAATTTATACGGTTATATGTCGTGTATTTATGACGAGCATTAGTTCCGAGGGATATGGTTCGTAAAAATCATAACTCTCGATCATCAAAAGCCTCGGGGTGAATTACGACTGATAAATTCACTCGAATTTTTATAAATATCGGGAACAGAGCTCGGCTAAACTTCGAGATCGATCGAATCTTATATACGATAAAATCTCACGAAAATGATAACATTTCTTTTTCATATAATTAAGCGAGAGAGAGAGAACGTTCTTCCGCGCAAACTTATATACTTCTCCACCGTGAACGTCACTTTTTCTCGTTCCTTCGCCCGTTCAATGCCGGAAGCCCAGCGCAATTAAATTGAATCTTGCAAAAATTGGTCCATAATGCTGGATCGTGGAATCCCCGGTCGCGATCGCGAAAACTAGTTTCGCGCGCGAGAGAGAGAGAAGCGAGCTATCGAGAAGTAATATAAACTTTATATCCCTCTTCACACGGACGGGGAAACTCGTAAGACAAATATATGTCGAGACCGTTGTTTCCGGTTCGCGCAACGACGGCTTACGACGGCAATGCTCCACGGGGCTACAATGTAAACATATATCGTCAAAGTGTATACAGATATGAACTTATATGTGACGCGTCTATACTACGTGTATATGACAGCAGTATATATGAGTATATATATACGCGCGTCGAGAGAGTAGCCGTGTTTTCAGATTCCGCCGTAAAGGCGGACGGCCATCGTAAAAGAATTGCGTTAAACTTAATGTTCGGCCGTTAAGAAACGTCCTGATAAAATAAAATCTTAATTCCGTACCCTATCCAGAGAAGATTTAGGTTTCTCCCTCTCTCTCTCTCTCTCTCTGCTGCTGTTATCCTGAGCAGAAAGGGCTCGTCCCTTTCTCATCTTCTCGAGATCAGTCTTAAGGGTTTACTAGACTGGGGTATCTCCCGTCCTTAATCCTTTCGTACTCAAATTTTTATTTGTCCGCGGGAGATTTTTACAATCCAAGAGACGGACTATAAATATATATATATATATTTTCCCGCCCTTTGCGAACTGTCTCTTTCTTTTATAACGACCCCTCGCAAGTTTGCTTAAAATAGTCTCGACATTAGGAAATTTACTTGGTAGTAGTAGATCTAAGTTTGAAGAACTTTCCAACTTTGTAAATTTAACTTCCGCAATGTCGTTCTCGATTCATTTCGAGTATCTAACGCTTTTGCGTATTCCTTTTCAGCAAAAACGGATACGTATGCGTCATGTTCCACAGAAGAGACGAGCACGTAATAGAGATGCAACTGTCGGAATGGCGCCAGCAGGCCGACGATATATGCAACTCGAGTACGTTCAATTTGCACACGATGCCATACACGACGTTCATCAGTAAGTAAATTCTGACCTTCTAATCGAATTATGCATTGTCGTCGCAATATCACGTCGCAATAGTAAAGTAACTAATTGGGCTTTAATGCGGGATGCCAAGTTTCCCAGCGCGAATGTAAATATACGCAAATCTGATTACGCTTAACGCAATGTTCAGTTGACAGATCGTGTTATATATATATATGCATACATACATATACATATATATATATATATATATATATATATATATATATTATTATTATTTGTTACTACGGCTTTTAATTAACGCAGTTAAACGTGACTGTCCCACCGTTAATACGTTCCCACATTTTTGCTTTGTCGGCATTATAACCGTATAATTAATCGGGTAAATTAATTTGCCGATATTCCAATGGAAGCGGCTCGTAAATGAAGTTGCAGTTTCTTTTGGAAGTTGTCAAAGAGCGATTCTCTTTTTCCCTCCCTCTCTCTCTCTATTAGAGAGCAAGTTAACTGCATTACCGTTCGATTAATATTCGCGGCTTCTTAATTTGCCATTCATCCGACATGGCTTTCGTTCCGGAGGGAAAGAGAGAAAGAAGCGCGCGAAATAATATACATATTCCATAAAACATTTCTCCGAGGGTGTAAAATTTTGCCTTACAATTCGCGGGAGATTCATTATCATAATCATAAAATAATATTTTATTTTTTTTTTTTTTTTTTTTTTTTTTGGTCGAGATTGAATAGATTGGACGCTGGAAATTCGGCCACGAGTCCGGAAACCGGAATCAGAAGCGAACAGTTTGCTCGAAGGTGATTTCCGGGCTCGCGCCAGCCTCCCTTGGCACTTTGGTGCCAACTCGAACCCTCCGTTTTTGTTCCGATTCATTGCCCGCGGACCCCTGGTTTGTCTCGATCTTATCGAATTACTCTGACAGAAGATAAGTCTCGAGGAGATTCGCGCGTGAAACGAAAAAGAACCCGATATACCGCTTGACGATGCATTTATAAACCTTTTTTACCGTTAAATAAATGCATACAATATTTATTTTGTATTGACGTATCGCGTTGAATTTTTAAAATATTTGATCAATTAATGCTATTAATACAAATATATTTGCATTGCATCGTAACTCTCACACACACTCTGTTGAAACTTGACCGATATTCCGAATTTTGAATAAAATATGATTACAATATAAAACGGGATCTAATAAAAGAGAAACGTCTTATCTTGCTTCTCAAATCAAGGCATCGATCGTGAATTGGCTATTGAAATAAAAACGCGTTCTCTCTTTCCTTCTCTCGGATAATTCACTCAAATGCACACACTCGAGCTCGTTATTTGTTTCGATCTTATAAAGTCTCTCCGAATCTTATCCGTATATTTGGCATGTACTATATAAAGTCTCGGATTCTTTCCGCGCTTCGCTCCATCCGCAGATTCCTTCATCAATTTGAAGTCGATTTTTCCTTCACGAAAGTTTGATGAAAGTTCCAGTAACCTTCCTACGTTCGACTTTAAATACCCCTTTGTATAACTAATCCTCAACTTTCAAGATTCTTTCAAAGCAGAGTCTATTTAAGATTAAACGGCGAGGGAGATTTCATTATCTATTTTTATCCCGGAGAAGTTTGTTTCAAATGAAATTTTATAAATCAAAAATTATTGACGTCTCGACATTATCGTTGGGAATAAATCCACTTGAATCTGTCCGAAAGAATATTTCTGTACCGGAAACACTTAAGGAAAAAAAAAATACGAACGCGCGAGAGAAGTTTGCAAATGACAGAGTTAACAATCAATTCGCTAGGCGCGACTTTACGAGCGCGTAAAGCATCATACGCCGGATCCATCGTAAAGTTCCACTCCTGCCTTCGGCTCGTCTCCCAGTTTCTCCCTAGCCCGATTCCGTTAACGTTGACGAAGAGGCGATGTCGTTCCGTCGCGGTGCGAAATTTATCGCGCCGCCATTCGCACCCGTCTCCCTTTTGTGCTCTCTCTCTCTCTCTCTCTCTCTCTCTCTCTCTCTCTCTCTCTCTCTCTACACATGTGGATGCTATTGCGTTATCACCGGAAATCGCCCAGCTGAGAACTGCATCGTGTAATGCAGCGTTTCCCAACCTTTTCGGTGCACGATTAAAATTTAAACAAAATAGAATGTGTTTTTTGCATCTCGATCTCACCTCTTCATTTTTTAGCAGATATTGAGTTATTTATAAATCATATTTAAATTATGGAATTAAAGATTTTAATGTAGATATAAAATGAATTGAATTTTTTAGGAAAAAATTGCTTTTAAATTCAATTAAAAAAAGAATTTTTATGAAATTACAAGTGCAATCGAAATTAAAAATTCAATATCCAAATGGGTTTTCCTTGTAATATTGTGTGGAATTAATTATTATATTATGTTTAATTAATATTGAATTAGTCGAATAAATGTAAAAAATATTACTAGTAAAAACAAATGTTTTACGTACTTCTCCCGTCTTGCTACACAACTTGAGAAGTTATCGTCGGTTGGGAAACACTGGTGTAAAGTAAGCAGGTAGTTCGTCCTCGAGGCTTTTAGTCCCGACCGCGTGGCTGAAGTAGCAAGTATAAAACCGCGATAAAAAGGCAAATATAAAAGCAAGATTCTTTCACGTCGAACTTCTTGAATAGGCGCCTCCTCGCTCTGCTTTTTCCCGAGAGAGAACTTGCCGTTCTGACGTTGGACACAATGAACAGCGCGCTCTCACCTCGACGCGGATCGTGTTGCGCTAATTTCCTACAGGAACAAAGTAAAACGCATTTACCTTAGCGTGTGAAACACGTCGACTGCGTGTCGATCGCGTATCAAATTGCTCGGCTAAAAGTTACACTGCAATATAAGCACGACCTTTTGTCGCTCGCCGCCGCGGATCGTATAAAAATTAATGGCTGTTCTTTGCATGTGGAAGGAAATTTGGATAATTTATTTTTTTCGCACCTTATCGCATATCCGATATACAAACGCATTTTTTTCAAGTACTTAATTTAGTGTTGGGTTCGCGATTTGATCAAAAAACAAGGTGAAAAACACAAATGAATGATCTTTACACAATTTTTCACCGTCTGATCCGACAATCAGACAAATCCTATAAAAATATTTTCATTTTTTAATTTTTTTTTTCATCAAGCACTTAATTTGAAGTTAAGTTCGCAATTTGATCAAAAGACAGGGTGAAAAACAAATGAATGATCTTCGCACAATTTTTGCGCAATTTGTCCCATTCGACAACCAGACAAATTGTATAAAAATTAATAGCTGTTCTTTGCACGTAGGAGGAAATTTGGATAATTCGTTTTTTTTCTTGCACCCATATCCGATATACGAACGCATTTTTTCCTTTTTTTTTTTCATCAAGCACTTAATTTGGCGTTAAGTTCGCAATTTGATCAAAAGACAGGATGAGAAACAAAGAAATAATCTTCGCAATTTTTGCGCAATTTTTCAGCGTCCGATCCGACAACCAGACAATGCCCCAATCTCGGTCGTTACGAGATTGTGTCGTTGTTTCGGCCACCGCATGCCGACAACGTCGAGAACCTTTTGGCCGCCGATGGTGAGCAAAGCGTTGCCAACGCGGCGGAGGTGCACGACGTGAGGGTGCCATCCACGCCGTCTCCAAGCCAGTGTCATCACGGCAGTGTTCGTAGATTGGACATAGGTTGCAGGGCACCCGATCGTATGGAGTTTGCCACGTCTTGCAGCGACGAGGCGTTATCCGGTAAGAATTGATCTTACCGGATCTATTTCTTCGAAAGACGCGGTATTAATAAATGAAGACTAAATCTGATTTTATCGTGGATTCTTCCATGACGTATGCATATTCCATATTTTACGACTGGTTTGCTATTTAACATTTTTTATAAAAATATAGATAAAGGTTTATGTTGCCTTATCAGATTGATTTCGTACGATAGAAATTTTGTGTTCTACATTTTGCACGCTCTACGGAGATATATTTCTCGGTCCTTTCACTTAAGCGACCATAGAAAGTTAATCAGAGAGATGTCTGATAAACGACAGAGAGAGGATTTCATTCGGATGACGAGTTTCCTAAAGCGTTAGGAAACTTTGACGGATTTTGACATGTGACGTGACTCAGGACGGTTAACAAGACGTAGTCGTCCTCTTTGAATCTTTTGCGCTAACTTTTCTTATCCCCCACGTACCGAGAACTATAATGGATTTTTATCATAAAGCTTCCGGTAAACGAGCTTCCGGGGACGCTGTCTTAACAATGTGACGGTTCGAAAGGCTTGATGGACGCCGTCCGTTGTCTTCGATAGCGTATTTGGAGAAGCTCCGTGGTTCAGCAGAATGTTCAGCGTCGGAGATGTTCGAGAGAAAGAGAGAAGGAGAGAGAGATGGAGAGAGAAAGAGAGATAGGAAACTCGACACAACACGGGCTGAAGCACATCCGCCCGGAACATCTTATCGGATTACCCGTACTTCCTTCTCATCCCGTACCATCCTAGTTCGCGCAAAGTTATCACAAGTGGTGATAGTTAGTTTGCGGAAAGGCAGCAAATGTCATGGTTGCCAGAGAGTATAGAGCGCTTACTTACGTCTGCGCTAACTTTGTACGCTTCGTTTGACTCTATACATAAAAATTGACCGCGAAATTACCGCGTGATTTGCAAGACTTTTATGGGATCTCATCTCTCTCTCTCTCTCTCTCTCTCTCTCTCTCTCTCTCTCTATTTATTTATTCCTATATTTAATATATATTGAAAATAATTAATAATAAATTTATATTATCACAGAAATCCATTAATTTTGACGAGACATCCATTTACATATTTATAAACAATCAATCAAGATATCCTATTGTATATCGGATTGTGTATTCTATTTTAGTATCCCTCTGTTTATGTACTATATACATATATATATATATATATATATATATCCATGTCATTCTGTAAGCCGTATGTTTATCACGATAACGGAGCTACGATAATAATGACTGAATAATTTCAAAATAATTCCGGATGATTTCCGGATTAGCTGGATTTCGGAAAGGCGGTTTATATTCGGAGTCTCCCCTAAGCGAGAGAGTATAAACGATACGATCGCGTAACACGTGCGAAGCTGATGGTGTATCTTTGTAATCCGCGAGAAATACGTGGATACATTCCAGAAGCGGGACGAGCGAGGAGCATTTTGTCATCCGGGAATTATTTTAGCGACGCGAGTTGTACCGGAACATGTTGACACAACCGAGGGATTTAGACACTCGAATCCCGCGTCTCCCGACAGTCGACACCGGATTGTATTCCGAGACACGGATACCAGAGGATAACGACAACGGGAACGAGATGGCAAAATAGCCATTAAGACGTCGTATAAATAGCCACGGTTTGCTCGCTTCGCGACTTACATCTTAAGAGCATCATGAGCGTGATCTTTAATTAATCGTATATCTTGAATGGCTAAACAGTACCAGCATCGGAAATCAAGATCGTTTTTAAAAGGACCGCAAGGAACACACGTGTTCCAATTTTTTTTTAATTTCCTGACTAATTATGCGCGTTAATGTCTGAAGCTTCGACGAATTTAGAGGCGAATATATTTTAAAGCTTTCAAAGGTAATCCATTTTTTAAAATCCACGTGCACACGTGTCTCGCAAAATATAGCGTTTATTGAAAAAATATTTAAAGCACGAAATCAGCATAAATTATTTCGTCGCGTTTGAAGGAGGGAAGGTTTTAATTTTTATCGAGCTCGCGTTCTATTTCCTCAAATAGATACTTCGATCGGTGGACGCAACCTCCGAATTGTTTTTCGAGGCGTCGAAGGTACTTTTGCAGAACAACAGGTAGAAAATTCTACATTTATTCTGATACGTCGACGTCGCTTGCCGTGGTTTTTTTTTAATTTTTTATTTCTTTTTTTTTTACCGTTGATAGGTGCCATCACCCATCGTTGAACACGATGCGCGGTCTCGCGTTTCCTCTTTACGCGAAGTCACGAGCTGTCGAGCGACCGCAGTAAATTCTCATCTTACTATCTTGCAAGTACGATCGGGTATCGTCGCTCGAAACGTCACGCCTGATATCGATGTGTCGGCGGGATTTATGGCTCTCGTTTATTCCCCTTCCGTTCTTCTCGCGCGCATTGTTACGGAAGGCGCAGGGAGCAAGTGCCGTAGAAATGATGACATAAAAGTAGCTTTCGAAACGATCGAATCACATTTTTCCCCCCGCTTTTTATCGGACACGTTAATTGAATGGTTGAGGGGATTATGGTTATCTCATCCACCGGGAAACGAAACTGTTGTAAAAAGTTACGAGCGATCAATTCAGCATTTGATGAAACAATTCATTGTCACAACTTCAAAGTAGTGTATTAATGTGCGAGAAACAGCCGATACTTTTACTTCACGCTTATTATGTTTAATTAATTTATTATGATTTTTTTAATTATTTAATTTATTAAATTTCTTGATACAAAAAGCAATTGTTTTCTCTTTTTTTTTTTATAAATTGTTTCTCTAGATGAGAGACAAACTTAATAGCGAAGAATGATGTCAAATCTCATAGACAACTTATGATCTTTTTTCAGTTGTCTCGTGAGATTTGCATCGGCATAATTTAGCATGTTATTGTCTTCTTTAAATCGTCTTAAGAAAAAAAACTTTCTCTTTACCGCAGCGCAAAGTTATTACCGTGTTCGTAATCATACTCCACCTAGCGCTACTTGAAAAAAAATCAAGTAGTTTAATGCGAGTTTGCCGCGACGTCCCTCTTAGCTCGGTGTTTATCGCGCGGAAAATAACTTGCGATTTTTTTTCAAACATTTCTCGCTCACGACCAATGTCGTCTCGTTTCCAGAGTACTTATGCCACGGAACTTGGATCGAAAACGACACCGCTTACTTGGTGGCCAGTACCGATGTCGGACGTTACTGCCTCGTTTATAGCGCGTCCGCCGCGACGACAGGAAGTCGTGAACTCTCGGTGACGGGCCATCTCGCTTCCTGTCCGAGGGCCTCTCACCGCCATCCAGTCTCGTGGCAGGTCAACCTCACGTCGTACGGTGAGCATTGTTAATTCCGAATGCAACGCGCGAGAACAGTTCGCCGTTTGCGAAATTCTTCAGAATAGTTTTTCTAATTATTATATTATTAAATGATCAACTTTGTCCACTTCAAAGGAAAGTCGAGCTAATTTAAATAAACACTTGGTTCTAGGAAAATTTTTTAAATTTGTTTTAAACTCGAGTTGAAATAATTTTGTTCGACTCAACATCCCCCCATCTCGCTTTTTATATTTTATAAGAAATATTAATTATGTAAAAAGATACATATATATATTTATATTAAAAAAAATATTAATTATGTAAAGAAATATTTTTTATATGAAAAAAATATGACTTGTGTATTTCAGCTCAATGCGGCGACATCTCGTCGGCGACCACGTGGGCGCCGGTGAGACATTTCCTTGGGATAGTCCTCTTCGGCGGCCTCCTTGCCAGATACATCGCGAGGTGATGCCACTGAGCCGAGAGGCGCCACATCATACCCGTGGCAATATAGTTGAAAGAGACTCTTTAATTGCGATCTTGCGTTTGTGGTGATTATATATAACGTTCTGGGAGACGGTGAGACAGAAAGGTAAAACTAATAATCAATCTTAGGATGTAAGTGAGCGCGGCGCGTGAGGTGAGTGAAGTGATTTGAAAAAAAAAATAAAAAAAATAAAAGAGACAAGTCGGAAACGGGTAAGGTATATATACATAATATATAGATGCATGTGCCAGCCCCGCGAATGTGGCAGTCCGGAAGCGAGGCTTTACGAATGTACATAAAAAATAAAAGATGCATCCACGAAATACGATCTCCCTGTGCACGTTCCTACGCTACGAGAGAGAAAGAGAGATCGATATTATTATTGAAGAAAGGCATCATTACGCGAGAGAGAGAGAGAGAGAGAGAAAAAAAAAAGGACTTTGTTATCTTATTACGAAAAATAAGAATATTACGAGAAAGGGTAACATAATCATTTAATGAACTTCGCGTTATTGTGATATAACGATATACCTATTCATAAATTGTAATTAAATAGGAATTTACTACCAGAGAATGTGATTTTATGCAACAGCTACAAAATATATTCCTCCCTCTCATTCCACTCCTGTTAATAACTGCAATTACGGAAATTAGCTCTTGTCATTACCACGCTCGAATATACCGTGATTGCTGCAGCATGTTAAATATACCAAATTCATTCTCTTCGTTCATTGCGTTCATGTAACAGAGAACTTGCCGTACGTTTCTCCTAGCAAGAACGCGAAGCGAGAGCGTGTTGCGTGGTGGCTGTTTTCATAGATAGAATCGGCGTGGATTTGCGTTACTATATAATGGAATACGTTTGCCTTTGAAGATGCGAGAAACGACGACTCTTAATGACGCAAATATTGAGTTTCGCGAAAAAACGCTGCCTTCGAGGTCGCGAGACCGGAAATAATGGACAATGCACTCGGGCCCGAGATTCTTTATGCTTTCATCCTTCAAGAATCTCATTACGAGATGTCACCGTCTAACCTTGTTTAATGATAACAGCTAAACATTGCAAAGTACTTCTATTCGGTTTCTCTAGATTTTATACACAAGCTCTTTCCTCGAAAAGAAATTATTTTTCGTGTACAAAACTATTTACATTCGATATAAGTTTTTTTTTGCGCTTGTATTAGTCGTCGCGTGAGATGATATAATAATAAAGAAAATAATAAGGGTGCTGGGGCCAATATTATACGATACGAGTGTTGCTCATAGATTTGAGAGGGAGTAAAAAAAAGAGAGAGAGAGAGAGAGCGAGAAAGCGCGAGAGAGAAAGAGGACGTGATAGACCTATAAACTATTTATTTAGAAGTAGCTTCACAGTCACTGCCACATTCGCAGGACACATTCGACGCTTTCAAAGCGCGAACGAAACATGTACTTATTTAGGGAAGAATAAAAAAAATTGCCACGTCCAACTTGTAATTATACACGCATTTCCATTAAAAGCTTCGTGGCACGAATCTCTCTTTGCCGTGAAGCAGAGAACTGTAAAAAGAGGAAGAAGAAAAAAAAAGGGAAAAAGCCGTACGAACAATTATTACTGTAATTATTACTACTATCACTGTTAGTACTATAAGGCAGGATAAACGGACGAAGAAACGGACTCCTTGCTCCTATAGAGAATCTCTCATTTTCTTTTGTACATCTCGCGGGAGAGATAGTTATCAGAGGAGCGTTTAGTCTGTAAGTTCTCTGTAAAAACGTTACATTGATCCGCTATTGAACTTTAATCCTCGTGCGATAAATGTGAAGTCGAGACCGACTGTACGCCATCGAAAGTTTCTGTGAGTATCAAGGTGAAATCGAGAAATCTCGGCCGCGAAATCCTATTGCGAATATAATAGTAACGCGAAACGAAAATGTACCAGCAAAAGGATTTGAGATGGTACACATAATCCGTGAGATAAAATATTATTGCTATTAATCATTTTTTCCTGGATATAAAAAATAGGCAATTTGCAAGAAATAATGTGTGTGTACGCGTGATTAATCAAACGGATAAATAATTACGCTAACTAAAAAATTTACTCAACAAATTTAATAAATGTGACTTTAACAAATGTTTAGTTAACGGTTGAATAATTTAATTCAATTTTTTGCAAAAAAAAATAATTTTTTTTAATAAAAGATACTAATCGAAATATTGAAGATATCTATAATATAAAAAAGTGCAAACTTACAACTAATATATTATTCGATTTAATTATTAAATAATGCGACAAAAATGTGCGACAGAAAATCAATTGCAATACAACATATCGTTATCGAGAGAATAAAGAGACAGTAGATTAAGTTGCATGCGCGATAAATAACATTCAAATTCCTTTTCAGAAATTCAGATTAAAATTGTATATAATTTCCGAAAAATAATTTGACGTATTCCGAAAGAGTTTATAATTAACAAAATAGATTCTATAAATTTTATGTGATTTCTCAGAATTGATATCCAGAAAAGGACAAACTTACCTGTCAACATTCTATAGAGAATCTTTCGAAAAATTAATTAATTGAGCTGATTGTGTATCGATTTATAAGAAAATTTGGTTAAATATATATTAAAACATTGAGAGTTATTGTATAAAAGGAAGATAGAGAGTTATAAGACGGCGACAGTGCGATCGTTTGATACGATCCTCCAACGGAAACCAATATGTGTCGACAAAATATACATATTTTTTATTCGAAATATTTTACTTACGGGCTCTCTGATCGCAAAACGGAGGGCGAGAACGGTATATTCGATTCGTAATATAATAATCGATTATACATATACATACTTGTGGGAGCGCAGCCAGATATATACGCAAATAAATATATAAATATAAATACTATAAATATACTACGCGACAATTCGATGTTGGCTATAAATTGTACACTATTAGATAAAATAAAGAACAAGCTATAGGGAAACAATGAAAGAAATAAGGATATAGTTGATGATCAAAAAGAGGCAGAATTTAATCAGCATTTGATTGCTTCCACTTTGTGCTTGATCCATTTGCCGAGGATATGCCATGTATGCGACAGAAATTAATTTTTTTTAATGTTTTTTTTACATTAAAGGATTATACAATGTATATTATGTCCCTAATGTAACGAGATTGCAGATCCTCTTTCCAGTCGGGGATGGCAAAACTGCGTGCGAAGTTTCTCCAGAACGTTATCGATAGATTTCAGAGTGCCGGCTGTTCTAACTGCCGTAAAGAAACAGCTATCATCTTTCCTTAGACGCAACCGTGATCCTCGAGATACGTACATTTACGTTTGTCAGTTAGTGTGTCCTATAATATTATAACGAGCACCGTCTTGGTTCTACGAACTGGCTCTGATATTGTACAGCAAAACACGAAATATACGTCTTGCGGACCATCATTCAGGTTGCATCTTAGGATTGAAAGCTGCGGGAAATTACTTGTACATAGTAGACTTAAAGGATTCGAATAGTGACAAATACAATCGAGCGTAATCTCGCGTCGATACTCAAAGAGATACTCAGTTGTAAAAAGAAAGGAAGCGAAAGGAACAAGCTGGTGGCGAATTCAATTTTATGATAGATCGCGAGAGTGTAGATTTCAGGGTATTTATATCGAAAAAGGTTACATAGTTATATATACAAAATATACAGAAATATTTAAAGATAAATTATATTGTGAAAAAAAATATATATATATATACTACGTTTTTATTGTTGTAAAGTTGGAACCGAGACGTCGAGAACAAAGACTCTGTTCTTGTGATTACCTTGTATAGTCCGTGTAGTTGCACTCGTGTTCGTTATTAAGTTGCCTCTATCATCCTGTAATTCGCATCGCGAAATAGTCCTTTTTTTTCGAAATCCAATGCGTAAGATGTGTCGCGAGAGAAAACTGCCACCTTTTCTTCATTTCACCCCTTGTTCCGAATTTACGTATTACGCGACAAAGATTTTTCAGAGATATTTTTCTTTTAAAAAAACGACGACAGACAAAACATGTAATGTATTTTGGTGACTGTCAAAAGGAAACTTCCCCTAATGATAATTGAACACGCGCACACGTTACTACCTGTAGAGAACACGACACAACGACTTACCGTCTCTAGTCTTAACGAAGAGAATTTACTTCGGTAATTTAAATGGTTTTTTCGTAAGAAAAAAAGAAAAAAACGACAGGACGCCGCTAAATATTTATTAAGCATGCGAATCGATTCGCAGAGTCGAGGATGACGAAGAATTTCTCCTTATGCGGCCTTCCATTCCTCAAGAATCGGGTACAGAGCTGTTCGGCCGATTTAGGCGAATACCAGGCGTTTTTTTTTATTCGCGTAAGAACGAATCCGGATGTCGAATTCCGAAAGCTTCCTCTTTCCGTTACGATTCGCGACGATGTTATCCCTATCGATAGCGTACGGTTCGGTGATTTTAGCGCTCTTCGTGTCCGAATTCGGAGCGTTACTGTACACAACTTAAGGCATCTCGATATATCCGCAATAACGACGATTAGATTAAGAATAATCATCTCTCACGGTGTATAAAGTCGCCCCGATACACTTTTCACTAAGGAATGTCGGCTTATGGGCGGTATAATAAAGTAAGACGTTAGAAGGAGGCAGCGATCTTATTGAAAGAAATTACTATTGTATTGTAATTATATGCGGAAAGGGAGAAACTGCAGAAAAAACACGACGAAAATGTTTTGCACCGTGACACGCGCGATCTGATGGTACTACTACTCTAAAAAAATCTCCACACGCTTGAAAGCTATCGAGAATCTATACATAACTGAGTGTGTTTTACTATTGGATTAAAATATTACAATGATACCTATTAATGTAAATGGTTTTTCATTATTATATTATTATTATTATTATATTATAGATGTTATACTTAATAATATATTTACAAATAAATTAAGACGAATTCGTGGTTTTATTCTACTCCATCGTATCCTATTCTTTTTTCTGTGAATTGAAAATTGATGGCGATTAAGATAGATGTATATCAAATCCAGATATTTATTGTATTATCATTTATCAATTATTCCGTGCGATAAATGTTTCACATGTTCATGTCAATTTTTGTTATATGATCACATATATTTATATTTTTAAAATTGTTGAAATGGTAGAGAAAAGAAAAGAAAGAATAAGAGTTCCGACAATAAATATGTTTTATTACACATATATCTCGTACGACGATTACACGATATTAATACATTCATTTAACTGTCCAGCAATCAAACAGATATTTTTATTTTTCTCTCCTCATCATCTCATCACCATTATATAATTCTATTATTACTAAATATTGTTACACACATCTCATTGAATCACAATGCGACGACTTGTTATATTCGTAAATCATCGGATCGCTTTTCGCTTTGTATAATTTTATCTCTCGCGTCTCTTCCTCGCTTTATTTATTTTGAATCTCTAACAAACAACCAACAGACCCGCTATATATATTCAGAAGACACGCTCCAATTGCTGCTCGAATCGTGTTTTAAAAATATGATAAACCGCTGTAATTCAATGAGATTTGTGTGACAAGTCATATTTTTGTGGCGTGTTTCTTTCTTTTTATATTTGTACCTGCGCGCATACCCGCGAGATCCATCGAGACGAGCGACAAGAAAAACGTTTACGGAAAAAAAAGAACGAGTGCGTTTCCGCTCGCCCATCGCCAAAATATACAATCAAAGGCGCACCCGCGCTAAATAATTAAAAAGATCACCGCTTGATCGAATACTTTCGCCGAGTTTCCAATTCGACGTCGGTGCAGAGATACATGCTCGATAACACTTGATCGTCCTTTTCCTCGTTCTTTTCCTTTTCATCCTCGTGCAAACGACTCGTCGCTCCCCGTGAAGCGAACGTAATCTCGATTCGTTTGCGTAGTGTGAGTGTTATCGTTAACACTAATTAGTAAATCAGTATCTCTCTTATCGCGCTTTTTATCATTATTATTACTGTTAATATTATGATCATTATCAGTAATTATTACATTATATTATTATTATTATTATTATAACCTCGTTGCTTACGCCCTAAAAACTTCGTTAAGTTAACTCTCCCTCTTGACTTAACAACTTGTAGTCGCGGACTCTCGTGAACCTCGTGGAGTTTTTTCTTACAAGCTAAACTTGGTGACCAGCACCAAAACACTCACTAGATCACTGTCTACAACACACATAGAGATTTTGCTTTCTCCGTAGTATTTTTTTCTTTTTTCTTTTTTGTTATGCGATTATAAGGTAATTACCTTAACGTGATTAAGAAATGTATGATTACATGAGCCCGAGCTATCACCGCTTGTACACGCCTAATCAGACTCGTATGCCGAATTTCTTAGCTCTCCGCGCAGTCGATGGCAAGCTTTTTTTACGACTTAAGTAGTTATGTAATGTTAATTTTGTTTTAGGCTGATCTTCGGTATACACTCGGTCATTAAAAAGACGTGTTTTCACATTCATTTTCCCTGATATATTATCGAGGCGCGCAACTGTCGCCATTTCACCAATACGACGGAAAATAAAAATTATGTTCGTGCGGCTTATTAAAAAAAAAAAGAGGAAGAGAAATATATCTTTCGTGGGGGTGTCGTCAATTTTTTTTTGTACATTAAGAAGCACGACGGTTGGCGTTGGACGTTCGAGCCTTCAAACGGCGCGATAAGATTCCAAATTCGCTTGGAGCGATCGCGCGCTTTTGAATTTAAACCGAACGAATTTGCAAATTTGAGCGATTCGCGGACATCCGTGGCGAGAGGATGACTTCTTCTTTACTTCTCACGTTCCACGCGAGATTCCAGAACGATTCGTTCACCGTTCGCTGGAATATATACATATATATTTGTCGCCAAAGGACGTATTGGTGAACGGCACGCTCGGCAATCAACTTAACAATCACTTATATTACTCTTTGGTTAAAAACATCTATCGATATATATCCTCGCGCGCATTGTAGTTGTACGTATTGCGTTTGTGTCATGTGTCTGTATATGTATGTGTGTTCCTTTTTTATGTATGTTTTGTGTATATGATGTATATATCGCAAGAAGAAAGCGTCTCGGTAATTAATTTTAATACAAACTTAAAAGGCCAGCTCTCGACATAGTTGTGTATTAAAATTAATTGTCCCCTTATCTCGATGCCTCCCTCTCTCTCGTTCTGCTGCTGCTCGGTGTTCTCTCCCACTGATTACACGATTTAGGGAAAAAGAGCGAATTTATCTCGCTCTTCTTTCGTAAATCATATAGATGGTGAGTAATACTCTACGTATTTTGCTCTAGCATTTCCTTTATAGACACGCGGCTACTTCTGGATTCTCGTTTTCGATTACGAACAATTCAATTACGAACTTGTCTACGTCTACAAAGCGAACATGACAAAATCTTACGATTAAAAAGACAGGTATCCTTCTCTTTCTACCGATAAGTAGGTGACTATTTGAACCGTCGAAGAACCAAAAGAATGAACGCCTAACTGTAACTGAGTATCCATTTAATTGTTTTTTCCATTTTTGTCACTTATTTTCTTTCCATATGTAGCGCGTATATCAGATAACATGTGTTCGATTCGTTCGACATCGCATGTATAATTTTGAACATTGATTATCGTGGGACATTTCGTAAAATTAGACGCATTATTAAATTTACAACATGATGTCATACGTGACACAAGAAACGAATCGATGAGCGTATTTGAAATTTCCGACGTATGCAAATAAATCTCAATTAACTTACGTATCACGCAATATAATTTCTGTGCGGCGTTTGAAACGTTCAAGAAGAAGACAGTGACATCGATCTGTTCGCTAATATGCTTCGGCTAGAATCCATTGTATATAATGTTGATATGTCATTGAGGATCTTGCATGGTTCTGGAAGAGAGGTTTCTTTCAGCCTTCGACGGCGGCACATCTTCATATGTCGAAGAAAAAAAAAGATGATGGATTGATACACGATGGACGATCACCGTCCCACAATCGTCATCATCTTCAGTGTGTGCTTGTGTGTAATAAGAAAAAAAAATCATCTTGCCACCCACTCGATATATATCGCAAACATGCAGCTGCCGCTTTCATTTGCGCAGGTACTTTGTGAAGAGATTCGCCCCTCCCGCTTGATAGAATTCAAATGAGATGCGGAGACGAAACTAAAACGACGACGACGACGACGGCAAAACGTGCTCCTTCATGCGCCGTTCGTTTCTCGGTCCAGCCGAAAGCGTAGCGATCCCGACGCATTTCTCGCACCTCCGTCATAGTGTTCCGTCGTCGTCGGGACGTTATCTCTTGTTGCCCGATCGAGATGGCTCCCGTCATCTCAACCGCCTCCTCCTCTTGTGGTCCGGCCAACGCGGCATAGGTCGATACAAAGGGACCGGCGGCTAGGCGCGGCTAAGTGCAAATGTCACTGACGCACGCGCCACCAGCTCTGATGCACCTTCTCGTGGAACTTTCTACAAATCCCGGCGAGCCTCCGTCACATCCCAGCCTCCGTGGCGTTCTCCTCCGTCTCACCGCCCGCGTCCTCGCTAGAAAATGTCGTCGATTCGCCATCGCCGCCACCGCCACCGCCGGTATCGCCACCCTCCACCGCCTCGCCGGTCTCGTCGCCCTCTTCCAACGTCACCTGGAAGTGTATCCTGTCCTGCTGTTGCTGACTCTCGTTCGTTGCTGACTGCTGCGTGTCGTCGGAGGGCGGCGAGGGCGGTATCATCGATTGATACCAATCGCGATTTTCCTCGAGAGTATCCAAAATTTCCTGCGCGTCCGGATGCACCAGATCCGCCCAGGTCTCCCACAACGGATGCACGATATAATCGATGAAGCCGACCTGCGACTTCTCGATTGTCGCGCTATGCCGATCGCACATCGGACTTATGTCCATATTCTGTTCTCGTTCGCGATCGCCCTGTAGGAAGAACTCCTCCATCAGCAGAGCCACCCATCGTCGATAGAGCGGCAACGGTTTCGTCGGATTCGACAGATCGGCGCAGTGCACCAGGTTCTCCAGCACCTGAATGCGATCGGTGTAATTGTCGAGCAGCAACACGCCGGACCCGGCGACCTTCTTCGTTTCCACCATGGTCTTTAGATCGGCCAGCAACGACATGTGCTTGGACATGTCCGTCGAAAGGACCATGTCGATGACCATCTTCCGCAACGTCTGCCGCTGCTTCTTCGTCATGTTCACGAATATGTCGCAGCCCTCGTTTTGCAGAAGCTTGAACGCGACTGCCAGATGATGGTTCTCCAGCACCGACTCGTCATTGTACATCAGCGCGAGTTCAGAGCCTGGATGAAAAGAACAGATCATTAGTCATTTCTTTCTTCATCATGTAGAAACAATGATATAACATTTTTAATAAACCGTCGATATTTACTTGAATTAATGAGGAACTGATTCGTGAGTCCCGGATGATCTACATCATGGATAGAAGCCGCGAATAATGCAGCGGTGATCTCCAACGGTGTGAACACGGACTGTAAATACAATAGAAAATACATCATTTATGACGACTATCGCAGAGAATTATCATTCTTCAGATATATCGATTTTTCCTTCTGCGAAGAATAAATATTTCGCACTCATTCATGAAAATGATATTTATAAGCAACTTATCATGTAGATGTCAACGAGCCATTCGAGCTCCAAATAATAATACATAAAATATATATTTCTTTCGTACCTCTAGGGCAGGCGTGTTGAGCAGAGTGTGAGTAGATTGAGTCACATCGGCTGCGTGGAGGCTATTGTGGAAGGGATTATCCTTCACGTAATGATCCTCTAGAGTCATCATGAAGGTAACGAAGGTCTTGGGCGGTATTGCCAGTGATTTGAGCAGATCTCGACTCTGAAAGGCCGTGTACGCCACGCAAGTGAGGGGTCGATTACTGCTGAGTTCGCTTATCCTGAAGATGTCGATGCCCCACTTATCGATGTCCGAAAGCAGCTGTAATTATGTAAAAAGAAACATTAGTATATCGGTCTCTAAGATACAGTAATTCAATATTTACTTTCCAAGTGATGTCACAAGAGATTATAATTATTTTATCGCAGTGGGCAGACGTTGATTTATATAAACTCGACCGTTTATTCGCGACTAAATAAAAAAAGTCGACGTGTTTCGGCATAAAGATAGCGAAGGTTATCACCAGGAGGTCATACTGATTATAACAATGTTGCACAGAGCAACATCCCGGATTGTCTACAGAGATCATGAATTCGGTAAACCAAAACAAGAGCACGTGATTAGATGACTGTTTCAAGATGCACAATTTGATATACACTAAAATTGTTTGTAAATATATAAAATAATTGTGATTAAGTAAATAACAACATTCACCATCATTTCTTTTGTTAATAAGTCTCTTGTTTCTCGAATATACGTAGGAAGCATCCAAATTAAGTATTCATGACGCGTTAAAGCAGCGTTCTGAGATGGTTGAATCACTATTGCGTAGGCATAAAAAAATGAGTTCGTGTCTAGAAAAGCCTGCAGGATCACGTAGCCATTTAAGGACACGTCTGCGTCGCATTTTAGTTTGGTAAGCGTATTGCCAACAGTCTTTCTATGGAAAACCCGATTAATATGCAGAATAGCTTAATACACCCGATTGCCCCTTTTTTCTCTTTTTTTCTTTCATTAAGAAAATTTATCTTCATTACCATAATGGAAAGACGAGCTCTTTCGTTGCTTATTTTCCCATATAAATAGATTTCTAAGAAATATGCATAAAGTAAAAAAAAAACGAAGAGTAAAATTTTCAGAGCAAAAAGAGAACACGAAGAAATTTTCGACGTTTATTTGACGCGATAATATTTAGTCGAAAGCAATATTTTAAAGTGTTTTTCGAATTTTGTTATCACGGATGACCCCAAGATCACGATATCGCTTTTGCCGTTCGTATAAGAAGAAATCCGTTTCTCTTTCTCGTCTCTGCCGCGAAAGATGAGTCGCTAATCGTCCGAGTTATTCAGGTTATCGAAATGATGCGACCTCGGCCCAAATGTTTCTGCACATACCGGTTAAAATACAACCGGCCTTGTAATCAGGATAATCGTTCACGCCATAGAGTAAACATTTTACTTTCATTCTGCAAATCTTGTGCCACGAAGAAACCAGATAAATCGCGAACTCAAATAAAAAACACATCATCGTGCATTGATATATGACATGTGTGCACCGAGAGAGAAGACGCGTGTTTTCAGCAAAAGATTATCTTCGAATTCTGATGCGCGTATTTACATCGACAAATTTGTTTCAAGCTCTGTATTATAAGAGGTCTACTTTAAACAGAATGGGAAATATAAAGAAGTTTATACATTCTGATTGGTCGAGCTTGAACCCAAGTCAAGATCCATTAAACTATTCTTTCCCAGTTGGTCCCCAGCGGATGATTCAGATGACGCTTTGCTCTCTAGTGAGATTTTCTTTATAATGAATAAAACTCGAATATATTCAGTGAATTTCATCCATATGCCCACGCAGGAAAGCGACGCGTGAAAGTGAAATAATAGTAACGGTGATTTACTCGGAGAATAAAATTTGCGACAGTCGCGTGACACTTTATTATAGGATAAAGAGGTGCCTAGAAACGCGAGATGAAAGTTCGGCGAGCATATTGCATAGTCAATATAGACTCGACACGGTTAATGACATAGCGCAAACTTTGTACGCGAAACGCATTTAATCGGTCTATCTAATCGTAAGATCTTGCCGCTGTTGATCTGATCTGATCCCTTTCTCTTCCTCTTTCTCTCTTTTCTGAGCATATCATTATATAGCTCTTCCGTGCACGCTAATGCTTTCGAAAAATCGGACGTGCTGTGAATATTTGGTCCATGGATGCAAACGTGTTGTATCGAGGATACTGTTGGCATTTTCCGAGACCGATATTGTAGTCAATTCGTGAACCGTGATGCAGTATTGTACAATGTAGATATTGAGATCCATAAGTCGCAGAAAAAGTCAAAAACACTGTGGAATTCTCGGTTTCGCGATGAAATTTGTGTCAATATTACAAAAAAAGAAAAGAAACGAAATCACCGACGACAAAAATAGTGAAGGTTCACTGCGATAAAAACAATTTTTTTAGCGTGTATTATATTTAGCAGATCTCTATTTTTATTTAAAAAAATCTAGGGCTAATCTAGAATACGATATACTGCCAAGAATTTTATTACTTCAACAAGGATGTAACTACTGCAAAGGAAATAAAATAATATTTTATTTGCTTATTATATATATAATTATTATTTTTTATATTTCATATATATGTTTTTTATGTGAAAGATTATATATCAATTAAAAAAATAATTAATTATTAAATATCATCTCGGTAAGATTTAATTAAAATTCCTATTCATTCCTATGTTTAATTTTTTGATTAAAAATTAATTTTTTCTCTTTTTAATTATAAAACCAGCATAATATCATGAAATAAATCCTACGTGACGTCAATTGTTACTTCGAAATTAGTTTTTTTTTCTCTTGAAGAATAAATACAGCTTTCGTAAATTGCGTGCCACATCACGTATTGTAACATCTCCATTGTTAATAAGAAGAGCGGCACGTGTAATCCATTATACATCGGTTTCGATATTGGATTTTGATTGTGAAGTCGTCGGAAAACAGAGCAATTGTTAATAATTATATAGTACATGATTTTAATAGGATTATCGTGATAATTGATTATTGAGATTCAATTCATTCAGGATTATTGTGTGTGTAGTTATTAAAGATTCTTTTAGTAAAATTTAATTTTTATTCCGTACTAAAGCTCTTTCAATTATAAAACTAATTATCAAGTATTAATCGTATTAAAACTATGTTACATACATATATGTATATAATTATAAACATTCTATTAACAAACCTTCTGTTTCTCGAAGAGTTTTACGACCTATCGATAATATATAACGGATTACACGTGCTCTCTCGTTAGGCTGCGATTAATAACCCTCTATAGTTAAATAAATCTCTATTCTATCGTGCACTGTAATCAGTTTAGCGGCACGTGGGTGAATATTGTTCTATTAAAAGCCACGTTAGTACCTTTGACGATAATTAGATATTTTCCAAGAATATAATATATGCCTCGTGGGCGCAATATCCCAACTCATCGGATAGAATCGAAGATATAACATATATGTATAAACGTAGATTAGCTTTCATGAATACCAATGTTCGAATGCGGCAGTGAATGTTCTTATGTATACATTTATTATATATATATATATATATATATATGTGTGTCATACATCTGACTTAAATGCAAATTGCAGTCGATGTATCGACTGCGTTATTAATGCAAATAGAAAGTAATATAATCGACACGGAAGACATCTCACTTTCATTTTTTGAGATAAGTGCATTTTCTTTTACGTAATAGCTACTAATTTCTTTTGTAAGCTACTCGATTACAGAATAATTTTCTCTCTGTGACTAATTGTAATTTTGCAATAATATCGTTTTTATGCAATGTGTGTATTTTTGCAATGATTAATTTTGTCTTTCATTTTCTGAAATCTTGCTGCGTTTACGAATTCGTGTCATCGAAAAAAATTGTATTCTTATCTCAAGTATATGCCACTTATATTTATATCAAATATCAAAATATCATATAATATCAAAAGAATCCTTTTAATTTAAGAGGCAAAGTCTCTAAAAAGAGATATTTTTATTTGATATTCTTAACATGCAAGAATATAATGAGATATTTTTTATCAGTGTATTATTTGAAATTATTAATCGTGATAACAAAAAGCAGTCTTACAAATAGACATTTGTTAATTATTACATATATAATTGAATATTTTTTATATATTGACATAGTCAAATACACATATTATTATATTACAATTTTTAATATTATAATTAAAACTTTAAAATTTATATTATTTTAATTTATTAAGAATACATTTTTAATTTAATCGGATATTCCAAAAAGCATCATGCGCGTAAAGAGGGAAATATCCTTATTCATTAAGAATATCTCTTATACAAGAGACTAATTAGCAACGAGAGATGCACTTGAAGAAAACAATTTTTTCGATGAATTTTCGGGAAGTCAGCTGAGCGAAACACGCGAAAGAGAGACCGAAAACACGGCTCGCGATATACGCGGTCGCGACAAAGGGTAAAGGTCAAAGGCTCACCTTGCCGAGCTCCTCCTCGTGCGGTGTTTCCACCCCGTGAAGCGGCACGCGCTCCCCGGTGAAGCTGTTGGTGTGTGTCAATGGCCGTTTCACACCGCTGATGTGTGACATGGCGGCAGGGCCCCTTTGTGCGCGGTCCTTCTTCTTCGCCGCTCGTGCATCCGCGCTACCCGCAGCGGCGACCGCATCCTCGATTCGCAGAGATGGTAAATCCAGCTCCTGCTGCTTGTCTGGGGCAAAAAGCGACGGAAGCGTGATCAAACGAGCGTTAAAAGCGCTCAAATTAATTACGATCTGATCAACATTAAACTTGCCGGTGAACTTCAAGATACACTGTGCAAGGATAGCTCGTAAAAAATCTCTATGATGCTATTTCCAGAATTAAATACAGGGTATCCCGTACCAAGTGAATCACTGGTTTACAGTGGATCCCTGATGTCACTTGGAGACGATTTTTCCTCAGCGAAAATGTCGAGGCATCAATCATTTTCAAGATATAAGCAAGTGAAAATAAAAGGTTTTTCGCAAACAGAGTCTTGTGGAAACAAAATATTAACAAAACAGTATTCAATTAGTTTCAGATAGAATTTACTTTAATAGAATTTTAATTTAAGGCTTAGTTACAAATAGACACATAATGACAAAAATTGGGAACCTGTAAAAAGTGATGATTATCCTCGACATTTTCGCTGAGGAAACATCGTCTCCAAATGACGTAAGGAATCTAACTGTACATTAGTGATTCGCTGGGTATTACTGGAATGTTGAAAGAGATTTCATTTATATGAACACGAAACGATATTTTATCGCGTTTGTCACTGGAATCATCATTGCATCTGAATGCTCAATCAAGTAACAATGCATTTGCATTATATCTCTGATTGTGGATTAGCCGTTCGTTTATCAGCTTGTAGTATTTGCAGTCAGATTGACCGATAAGTTCGCGCTGAACGGCAGATGGCTGATAACGATCCATGTCGTGTAACGTGACATTATTAAAACGATTAAAAAAATTCAATCACCGGACCATAAGATTATACATTTACATCATCAAACGTGCTCGGTCCATCGCGCCTTCTCTTCCGATTTCTTTCGTTCGTCCGATTTCAGAAAATTTTCTCTTCACAGTAGACGATCGAACGCAGAACTCGTTAGGAAGCTACGTAACGAAACTCGTTAAGGAAACTACGTAATGAAATCAGCACGTAGTGTAAACGGAGAGTTTAGAAGCGGAGCAAAGATTTCTCCGTTAAGGGAAATCAGCGGATGGGACGATATTCAATATAAAAAATCGTATCTCGCGAGAATAATATTTTTCATCACGCAGTGATAAAAAAGTGCGTCTTTCGGGACCCTGTCTCGAGTACAAAGGGATCGATCGATGGTTTTTTCGCCGATGATAAACCTTGCGCGCGGTCACAACCGACCGTTCGTCGGACAAAGAGAGCTAACCAGAATGAATGGTCATGGTGGTACCGGTTACGGTCTTTCAAGGGCTTGTAATGCGTAAGAGCCGCTCGTTTTATTACACCCGTAAAACTCGCTTCTGGCGATGACCTCGTTAGACGCAATGCCATGAAATTCTCGGTATTTGTTTTCTCCCATATTTCGCGGAAATGTAATTTTTCTCTCGAAGTAGGTACGACATACGTCAATCTCCTTATCCCTTCCTTCGTTCTACGCAAATTTATAAGTTGTCGCGGTTGATATGTCATTGCGATAATCTCTTGCGCGGCAAAGTTGAAGAAAGCATTCTACTTACCAAGAAAGGTGCTGCAGATGTATTCCGAAATTTGATTGCCAGATTTGGAGGACTCCGAGAAATGCGATAGCTCTTTGTTCAGCATTCTCTTGAACTGTAATCAGAAAAAATGGTAACGAATCATTAAGAGAGTCTGATCAATTTTAAAGAACAATCAAGTATGTACTTTGTTTCTTGTGATATATGAATTAATAAATTATTGCGATAACGACGTATACTCATTCCTTCGTCAATTATATTTGTTAATGAACTGTGTCGTATTGCGACCTTGATTTTAATATTCAACATCATCAAAAGAATACACATAATTTTTTACGACTTGATGAAGGGAATTAAATTAGACCTGACATCAAGCGAATCTGTTTCTACTAAATCGATTTTAGATATACATTTTCGTGAAAAAAGAAAACCATGATTATATCGGGGATTTACGATTACATATCACGAAAATGCGGATAAAGTGATAAATTGAAAAGCTAATGAGATTTATGAAAGAGTAGAGAGAAAAAAAATGAAGAACCGAGGGAAAGTCTGGATTTCAGTAATCTGCCAGGGCGAAAGTCGCTCCTCGTTCGCGTGCTTTTCTACCCTTATCTCGTTATGAATTTACGATATTTGTGCGTATCACACGCACGATTGCATGGGGAGGGCAAACACAAACTCTCACCAAATAATGCCGATCCCGGTTGCTTTCTGCTCTTATCAGAGTCACTATCATAGCGTAGTATATCATCTTTCCGACAAATGCAAATAAATGTATTTACGCAAATATACACAAGTATATGTTTGTGAGCTGGAGTAATGACCCGCAGGGCAAAATTATTGAGTAATGCTAATTGAGCATCCTCCAATAAATTCAAACGAACAAAATGGTAATTAGTAATTCTCTACAAAAAAAATCCTTTTTCGAATAATTTTTGGATTCATCTGCATTCGACAACTGTCTAATTTTGCTATATTCTGTCTCAAATTTTATTGTTGATATTCGACCCTCTTCTGAAGAAAATAAATAAATGTCTCGCATTATCGGACTAATTAATTCAAATTATCGCGTGCGTCGTGCGTCTGCATATATAGTATCCTTGTTACGTATATTTACCAAACGAGAATTAACAAGGGCATTGTAGAATCTTTTTATAAACGTATATTACTTTTTCTACAGCAGTTATTACTGCTGTCTAATGTAATTAGGATTATACTTAGTTTGTCGATGTGTATGATAATTCCTACAATTTGACTCCGAAAAAAACCTTCAAATAACAAAGGTCGAAAAAACGTAAATTGCAACAGTCTTGCAAGAAACAAGAACATAAAAGAGGCGTGTCGGATTGATTCAATGGTCCATTTACCAATAATTTTACACGCGTGTACGTCATGTCTAACATTTTTTCATCTCCTTAAATGACTCTAATTTTCATCGGATTCGAGACGCTTTGCAAATCGATGTTTTGTTTTGCCATTTCGTTCTCAACAAATGATATATTATCTCGCAAAACTTTGAAAGAAAAGCTATTACTACGATTCAAATTGTTTGCTTTCATAAAATATTGGCATAATATTTATCACGATGCCTCTCATTCGTTCGAAACAATGCCGTGCTTTTCTCTCTTTCTCTCTCTCTCTCTCTCTCTCTCTCTCTCTCTCTCTCTCTCTCTCTCTCTCTCTCTCTCTCTCTCTCTCGCGGTACCATAAAGATAAAGAGGATTTTGAAAGGTTTCAAGTAGGTCAATGGAAAAAACTAAAATGTAAAATGTGCACGCTCGCCTGACATACAAATGTGACATATATATTTATATATATACATATATTATATTGTAAATAAATAGTAAATTGACGCGCGCGCTTACATTCCGCTTCAGTTTGAGCGCGACATAATGCATATCCTTATTCGGGTGCACAATAGAATTTTCTTAGGTCGCGACGAAAATCCAGCGAAAATCGAAATCTATTTTAACGACGTGATGCGTGTCGAACACGTCGCGTTATATCGCGAAACTAACGCTTTTGGCTCGCAATCTCGTTTCAGGTAGTCACGTCAAGATTTCGCGAGCAAAGCAGTCATAAATTCATGGCATTATTTGCGGAATATAAATCTGCTTTTGCGATAATTCCTAGCACATTATAACTATAACGAGAATGCTTCTGCAATAATATTCCGTGTCGGTTATCTCGCAATTCGTCTAATTGCAAGCATTATCGAGAATTTGAACCGCATCCGGTACATAGAGATTTCTAGATATCAAGTTTCTATTTCGAAACTTTTAATTTGACAAGTTCACACGAATAAATCTTGTTTATCTCATATAAAAATTGAGATTAATACACCGCTCTGGATATTATCGAAAGTGATTGCGTCAATAAAATTATGTTGACGTAATCATAAATCGGTTTTTTAAAACAAATCGATGTAATCAGATAAATGCAAAATAAAAGAACGATAAGATTGATAATTACGTATGATCAGTCCGTTTGACAGAGTTGAGATAAAAATTTAATGATATCAAAAACACGTGGATATGATAATGATTTCTGAAAAGATATAATAGGAGTGCAGAAAATATTCTAACCATTCTAACGTAAGCTAAATTCTGCACGAGAAAAAAGATTAATCGAATTAATGTGACAACGTCAACGTTCTATTTGCAAGTTCACCTTTCCTTCGTAATATAATTATCAATGAACTTTTATTGAAATGTCGCAAAAGGTCAAGCTTGCGTCGACATTCCTAACTCTTGGATTTACATCGCCTTTATTAATTAATATCGTAGTAATAAGACTGTATTTTTTTCATGATTCATTGTCTTCTAAAATCCTATTTAATTTTACACCCTGATCTCATTTCTCTTATCAATCATTCAAGATGACACTAACCACTAGTCAGCAATTCAAACTAAAAACTGATTCAATAGAACTTTCTCTTTCTTTTCTCCTTATAATATCTTTTATTACTTTTGTATAATAATGTAATTTTCTCTTTTCTATTTTCACCAAATTTTTATTACACATTTATTTAATTTTTATATCCTACTTTTTATCCTTTAAGAAATGTTTATATCCTAAAGCTATAAGGATATTAATCTTCTTTTACATGCTTCAATATAATCTCTAATAGGATGAAATCTTTGCTACTAGTATGAAAGTAAAACAAGTATTCGCATCCGGCGCGCCACATCATTGTGTCCGACACGGGCATATTCCATCAAACTTGATTGAGTCCGTGTAAGAAACACATTTGAGTACTTTCCATCCGGGTATTTGCAAGTACAAAGAACCGTGAACAGACAGAATATTAAATCGCGGAAAACAAGTCTCAATACTCCGGCGTGTTCTTTGTGATGTGGGTGCAAGTGCAGTTCCATTATTACGACGACGCGGACGAATTGACATTAATTAAGGCGATTGCTTGACCCCGCGATACAGCTTTATCTGCCCTATCTCCCCGAGTTTGACGATAGTACAATCTTCCATTTGTGTTCATTCGTTAATCACATCCGCGCAGAAAAGCCGATATCGTTCGGTTAGCTTTCGTTCAATCTCTTTATATTAGTAGAACATTCTCAGTTTCGTGCTTTAATTCGATGAAATGTTATTCTGTAAAAAATATCTCTTGGCATCTCGTTATAAAAATGCACGTACCACGCAATAACCGTATTTACAATACTATATGTATCAACGTAATCAGATTGTCAGTCAAAGTTCAATTCTTAAGACGCGATCGATCAGTGATCTTTGCTCGATATATCTGTGGAGATCCGTCGAGATAAATCGTTTCTCCATGCTTTCTGCGCAGTCGAAGCTCCGAGTTAAACCATTTGTTAATTATTCCAATTGCTAATCGAGATCAAGCGTCATTCTTATCCGAGATAATATTAAATGCCCCGAGTTTTCGCGTAAAGCTGTTTTCGCAGAAAACTCCCTCGATAAGATTATTCGAAGCATCGATACCGTCTGACAGCTATTAGACAGAAGACACGTGAGGCTACCGATAACATGATCTATAATTGGACAATGAGTATACCTGTCATCTCGCGATACGTCTGTCATTCTTCATATCTCGGCGTGTGATTTTGCGATAATTTAGAATTCAGGTCGCACCATGAAAATGCATCGCCAAATGATTTCACCAGCCCATTCGTTATCCTCTGTCGCGACATACGTTGGTTACGAGACAACAAGAGCAGCAGTAAATGAATGTTCTCGCACGATCGATCGTCTTTCGAAATTCTATATATATATATATATATATATATATATATATATATATATATATATCGTGGCGCTATTATTTGCCCAAATTACCGTGACAGATGGCCGTGCCGGTGAAATCTATCGAGACCCGTTGATAAAATCGGATAACATAGATACACACTGGCATATTGCGTTTTCTTTTAGTTGCTTCCTCGATTATATATCTAATTTAATTAATCTGCTATGTAATCAACTGGCTTGTTAGAAGTGATTATGACCCATCGAAATTGATGAACTTGTCAGATTATGATGATAAACTATAACAAGCTCCCATAATTATTAATATACTATTTAATATCTTTTCATTTTTGTTGACTACATATACTTGCGAGTAGAAATAAAATATTAACTTCGTCCCTATAGTTTCTAAAATTAATAGAAATATACGCCAGAACTCTCTCGGAAGAAAATCAATGTCTTCTCGGAGATACATCTTGCCAATTAAGTTGAGTATCAAACAATCCCGAAATTACCTGCACCGCCATGATGCTGGCTATCGCCGTAAGATCCGCCAAGGTCCTCAAATAATTGAAGTATTTCGCGGACTCATCCATATTGCTCGTCTTCACTTCACCGTTCGTCATCTGCGGCATCATTGTGCCGGTGTCTATTCAGCTCCAGTTGCCGATCACACAAAGCTTCACACTTGACAATTTCTCCCGAGGAAAAACTCGAGGAGGGGTCACTGCGTTCGCGTGAGACAACTACTGAGAGAACAAACGTCTGCCTTTGACACGACGATTACTTTAACTTGACTGACTTTAAACTAGAAACGGGTCTCGTGGATGATCGGAAGCTGTCTCCGATTCCAGACTACCCGACGTAAACGGTTCACGTGAGTCGTGA